ATATTATATTCAACTGATATCGATATCGTATCGTAGAGGTGAGAATAATGGTTTGTATTCAGTAGTAGTCTAGTTCAATTTAATAAAAGATATAGACTGGATTCGTGTACGAGTAAATAAGTTTTTTTGAAACTTTATATTTAAGGAAAAGTGCAATAACTCAACAACGCCGTAACCGAATTTCAAAAACCAAACATGAAATGATATCAGAATTTAATGTGGCATCTGAATATGTGATGATATACAGGGCGTTCTATTTTAAAAAATGGAATTTTGGTATGTAGCACCTACACCAAACACCCTGTATATTTAAAAATTATATCAAAATATATCTCTCATGCACTCCTGAAACTTTTGTATGAAACATTTTTGTGTATCTCCTTCAACAAACCAGATATTGCCTGTCACATAAAATGTGGGACACCGGGTATATAAATATCAATGTAAGTCACAAAAAGGATTTGAAGCTTAATAACTTCCATTTAATTATATGAGAGCGCTTTCGACAGCTGGTCGGGCTATCATCATCTAGGCTCTACTGAGTAGAGCCTAGAGTAGAGTGTGCATGATACAAATAAAAAATGTATATTTATGCATATAGAGAAATATGGAATATTGTTGGGGATTCAGTCAAAATTACTGGACTGTTGTTTAAATAACACTCTTTGTCGAGCTTTCAAGAATGTTTATTCCCTTTATCAAGACATTAACTTGAGGTTATAGTAAAAAGTCAGACGTGGCAATGAGAAAAACAAAGTTAATACTCTTCCTCGTGTAGAGAAGTGTCGAACATTCAATTTAAAATTACAGAGAAAAAGTACAAAAACCCATTTTATTTAAACATTTAAAAAGTTATTTCACTTGCCGCATTCTTGGCACTTACTTGGAGGCGTGGTAGCATTGTCTGAATAATTTGTGTTGTTTCTGAAAAAATGTCATCGCCTAACAAAAAACCAGTTATCAAGGGTGTATCATTATATAACATTTTAAAGAACAGTACCTATAATACTAAATGAAATATGAGAAGAAAGCACAAAGAAATCATGTTCCATTTGCTACCTTAATCGAAACTAATTATAGGTACGACACTGGCCGGCAAGGGGGTTATCTTTCCAATAGTAATTTAGTGGAAGAGTCTATACTTGTGCGATCGCTCGCCATCACGTTTGGCGCTCGCTATATTTTGTGGGGTTGCAGTAGGGATGTTACAAAGTACTCTTTGTTATCTGCCAAGCTTTCGGTAAGTCGATCACCGTCGTTAGGACAACTAGAATATATCTTTTTTTATAAAGATACAAAATATGGAACACTTACTAACGGGAGAATAATAAAGAGACGAACAAAGCAAACAGAAATTCGAAGCATACATTTTTTTTAAATGTGTCAAATTTTGACAGAATGTCATGTGAGAATATTCTGATTACTAGGTGATTTTCTCTAATCTTTTTCGTTTTTAGGTAAAAATGTACAAATTTGGCTCAAATTCTCAAGATCTGTTTTCTTGTTCATGCTATGTTCTTCGTTAGTGATGTGGGTCATTTCTAAAAATTAAATTAATTTCTCTATTCAACATTTCTGGGTTCTCAAAATTCATTCTGTGATCCTCCATCTTGAATTGTTCAAGAATTGGGCAAGAATTAACGTTTCACCCGCAGTCTTTTTTATGTGTTTTGTTTTGGAATAATTCATACAAGAAATTTAGTATATTGTGTTCGACTTTTGTTCATCCAAATTAAGAATTTTGAATTTACTATATAATTTAGAAATAGTTGTGACATTTCCTTTAGAAATTAAAAAAGTGATTGTTTCGGAATACATTAATTAATTTTGGTGTTAGTTCTTGAATATTATTTAATGATTTATAATTGAAGGGTTGCTCTTTCAGATTATCAAATCCATTTTGGGAGGTTGGAGAAACTGTTTTTTCACAAAAAAAAAGTCTATTCACTAAATCTTTAGTGAATTATTTACTGAAACAGTTTCTCCAATTTCCCAAAATGGACTTGATAATCTAGTACAGCTCTTATACCAGGTGTCAACGAATCTATTAGAAAATTCATAACTTCTAGGCTATTGGGTGCATTGAAATGAGATTTGGTATAGGTAAAGAGGAAGCAATCACATTTTTTTCACTTTCCGGTTCTGAATTTTTAAATAGAATAGAATAGATATACCCTGTATATCGTAACATTCTTGGATTTTTGAGACAATTCTGGGTCAAAATATGATATTTCCGAAAGTTTTAACGCCTACTGAATTTTTTCAGAGTCACTTTTGAAATTGCATCTAGGTTGCCATGATCAGACGTAAACTAATCCAAGGACCTCAGGTGATATCAGAAAATTACAATCGCGGAGTTTTATTGATTAGTACGTTAAATATGAATAAGACAACTTGGCCAAATTACATTTTTGTGTCCAACTATTACTTTTCAAATGGCGACCATTTTTTGACAGGCACTTTTCGAAAAAAGGATTTTTTGACGAATCAAATGACGATACTGATTTATTTGCGATTGGAATACAAATAAGAACATAAATTAAATTACTGAGGAAAATACTTGTAATAATTTATTTACTTTTATCGAGTGTGCCATGGATAGGCATGATGCATAATATTTTGCAGTTATTTCCATGTTCCAGTTGTTCCATGAAAATTGCTTCCAGTTCGCCAACTGTTTTTATGGGCAACATGAGGGTACGGTAATAGGAAACCCGTTGTCTCCTCTCATGGCTAATCTGTTATGAGCAGATTTGAAATGGAAGCAAGGGAAGAGTTGGATTACTTTCCACGAACCTCGAAACGATACGTGGATGATGTACTTGCCATTTTCGATACGAATAGGAGTAAGGTAGATGATTTTATATTTCGCCTAAACAACAGATTTGCAAGAATAAAATTCACGTATGAAATTGAAAATAACGATAGACTACCATTCTTGGATGTACTAGTTATTGAAAATGTCGATAAGAGTCTAGAGTTTAATGTATATAGAAAGAATACGAGCACTTTCAAGTATATCCCTGAAGGCTCTCATCACTGCCCACAACAAAAAATGACGGGACGACAATTTCTTGTCCATAAACTGCTCACATTTCCCTAGATCAAAGAAAGGTATTAGATTGAGATCTGGTGTTGAGAAAGTGTTTTTAATAAAATCTGAGAACAGTTTTTACCACGACTCAACTACTGAACATGTTTTGGTTGATTCAAAACGGACGAATGATGTTTTCTTCGGCAGTAGGTCCCCCGTGACTTATTGTATTTGTTGCTCAAAAAATATATTGTATTGCAAATGTCTGAAGCCGAGAATCATGCAGAAAAATTTTCAGTGATCTTCTTGTCTTGACAATTATATCTGTCTTTATATTTGAAATATGTATTTGATGTATTCAAAATCAAATTACCCTTCATAATGAATAAAAGTGTTGAAAAAGTTGAAAAGTTTTTCAATTGAGAAAGGTTTTTATTTTTTCAATGAATTTTAATTTTTAACAGATTTCAAACAGATTTTTTAGTACATTCAGATTTTGATTTTGTGCCGTGGTTAGTTCTAAGTGTTGTTTTATCTTTTGTGTTTTTTTCTTGTTATTGATCATTCTCATAAAAATTTTATTGTCTGAGTTTAAATGAAGTGTCATCATCGTTATTCTTATTATTATTGTTATCATTTATTTCCAAAAGGGTAAGCTGGTCGGACCCTGTCCCCGAAGCACGCTTGAGAGAGTGCGCCAGTATTATTAAAGAATGACTACTCCCCACACTGTGTGGTGAGTTATTGAGTCCAAGAATCATGTGCTCTAAGCAGACGCAATGAGCCAAAAATGCCAGCTTTCTGCATTTCCGGCCAAGATTTATTATTATTATTTTACCTTAGGGTAAGTTTGTCGGGCCCTGTCTTCGAAGCTCCAACACATTCGGGAAGGCGTGCCAGCATTATCAACTAACGACTACTACTCACACAGTGGGGTAAGTGATCATTGGGCCTGAGAATCATGTACCTTCAGTAAAAACAGTGAGCCAAGAATGACAGCCTTCTGCATTTGTCCGGCTGAGATTTCTGCCTTATTTGAGATTCGAGAGTAGAGAGGGCATCATTCCACCAAGCACTCCAATAATCAGAACAACCATCTTGCCAGATTGGTCTGGATAAAGTCTGCAGAGTTCGAAGAGAAAATCGATATTTTATCGGTTTTTTTTCCTCTTTTGAACAATATTAGTCTCATCAGGAGCTGAAAACTCCACGACAAAAATCTTCTTGCTCTGGTGGTCGAGAAGGAATACATCAGGCGTATTAGCTTGTATCATCCCGAGGGTGGGGAACAAATAGTTTCAATATATTATTATTATTTTCATTATCTTTATTATTACATTTCAATGAAGACAAAGACATCGACATTTCCAGTTGTCGATACTAATGACACAACAGGTAACGAAAATGTTGAGAAACTTGAAATATTTCATTCGTCGGCGTCGCCATGTCTGCAGTGAAAAATTGAAATTTAAAAACCAGGATCAGATTTTCAAATCCTGGGCACGGTTTGATACAAAACAACAAATATTTTGAGATAATGTTAATTTTTTCAGAGTATTCACTCTTGTTTTCTATAGAATATTTGAGAACACTTACCATCGTGTCTTGGCCCTGAGCCTGAACCAGACCCGATATGATCATCGTCTTGGTCGTCTTCTTCAATATCTGGACCACTACCAGATCCTGACCCTTCAGCTCCATCTCCCTGCATATAATCTGCATCCGAATAATTAGAACCTAGGGAACTTATGGCCATCTAGAAATCAAGAAAAATAACTTAAACATATATGTACAAAAAGTATATTTTTGATTATTTGAATGTTCACTTAAAATGTATTTCTGTTGAGCGTTATGTTTGATTTTCTGGCACAATCCTTTCCAGGCTCAACAAACATTCTAGATCACTTACTTTCAATGAAGGCACTAATTAAGAATTGTTATATATACTCGTACGTTTGAACTGTAAAGTTGATGCCTACATTTTCAACGTTACTGTTTATTTAATTTCAATAGGAAATATTCATATTGTTTTTAAATTATATACGTAGGATGAATTGCATTACATTTCTCATCATTGAGATATAACCTAAAAGAACAAACAAAGTTTAAAATACTGCAAAGTATTGAACATAACTTAATATCGGCATTCAATATAGCCTAAAATCTATAGAAATTTAAAAAAGCATAGGCAGGTTAAGAAAAAAAATATTCCAAGGATCCCTACTCTAAACACAAAATTTATCTCTTAACCATTTTGGATACTTATGAATAAAATAGAAACAACTTCAAAATCAACTGATGATGGTTCTGATTACAGCCGAAACATGTTCGACGCGGTTTATATTGGAAACTTTCACCAATACTGTATTCGAATTCAATTTGAATTTGGAATCAGTTATTCGACTATTTGTGTACGATAACTCAACAGAGTAATAGATACCAAACAAAAAAGTATTCACTCGGCCATCGAATCGCTGTATCATTTACATTCAATGATACATATCTAAATCGACACACCTAGAAGATAGTAACACCTTAATTTTTTTAATAAACTATATAATTAATAATTACTAATTAATCATAATATTTCAACTAGTCTCAACACCCACACATTGTATTGAAATATATAATTAAAATCATTGTTATTTTTAAATATGTGCGGCATATGGAAACCAAAATGAGACCTTATTTTGAAAATAAGTGGGTGGCCAAACAGCCCAACCCACTTGAAAGGTTTGGAGGGCAATATGATGGACAATAAAAAATTCAGCAGAAACTTATATTATTATGTCCAATGATATACTTATAACAATAGTAATAGTAATTATAATAATTTTTTTATCTCATGAGTTCAGAACATGAGAGAGCAGGAATTGAAGCATTTCTCTTTAAGGCAGATGTCGAGCGTGGTGATTCTTTATCTTAGTTCTGAAGTCGAAAACTAAGTCAGATCCAGGTAGTTAGCCTAAAATAGGTTTTATCGATCATCGAAGTAACACAATCTTCCTCATTTGAGTTTTCCGCTCTGAGTGAAGCGAATATCGTCCGAAAAAGGAAGGAAAAACGCGTAGTTCGAGAGTACTCGAAGAGAACTGCACAGACTTTACAAAAATCACTCTGCTGAAATGGTTGTTCAAATTATAGAAGTTCTAGGTGGAATGATGCCTACACTACTACTCTAGGTCTCAAGCTTGCTTCAAAATGACACAAATCTTAGCTCAACAAACTCAGGAGTCTTTCATTCTTGGTTCGCTGCGTCTTGTCTCTTCTACTCAGGGCAAGTAATTCTCGGACCCAATGACCGCTTATTCATTGTTGTGGATAGTGGTCATTGGTTAATGACCCTGGCAGTATAACCAAGTCCATCATATAAAACATATAGTTGGTTAGTCATTAGCAATATTTCAAACAAAAATTATCATTTGAAAATCCATTGTGTAACTATGGCAGCATTTGGAGAAAAAATCTTATGCTTTCTACTTTTCAATTTTTATACAAACTAATCATAGGAAACTTCCGAAGGAAGCAAGAAAGAGATTCAGTTCAAAATAAACTCTTTAGAAAGATGTGTAGATCGTGATACGAGTTACTTTCAGAAACAAACCGTATGAAAAAATCCTTTCGAAACAATTACTTTCACATGAACACTGAATAATTACAAGAACGAAAAAGTGTTTTCAGTTTGTACTCCAAACATTCGTTATGGAATTGAATCAGATATGATTTATAGGAAGATACACAATATCATATAAGAACTTCGGAGTTTTGGAATAAGATACTTGTCTTATTGCTTCATCATCACCTTTCACCACAAGATGGAGTATTCATTTCATTCATAACATGATGACTTTACGTCATACTACTCCAAAGTAAACTTTTCCAAAAATGTGTAGATCATACATATAAGTGACTTTCAGATACTGGAAGAAAAAGCCCCCCAGAAACTACTACTTTCACATGAACATTCAATTACACGAAACAAATACTTTCATATGAATATTTGAAAATAAATTTTTCCTATTCAATTTGTACTCCAAAATTATTCTGAAACAGCAGATTTTCGAGGCTAACTTGATACAGGTTTAAAAAAATACGTATATATACATACATATGTGAATCAAAATATTTCTGTTAAGAATCCTGGAAATCGTTGATTGGCTCACTGTTGCGATTTTAATATCGTAGCAAACATGGTAGAAGAAAAACCAAGTTACTTCCTTCCTTTCTTTGGAAGACTCCCTCATCCTTCTTTCTTTTTTTTGTATCAAGATGGAGTAGTAGAAAGCCAAAAACTTTCTTTCCCAAGAAAAACCGCTTCGGAAATAAGTGTACTTGTTTTGCCATAAAAAATGGAAATGATTGTAGCAGTCACGTGTGGAATATATTGTGAAACAAATCACGACAAAATAATTGTTGTTTAGAGCAACATAAAATTCAGAGGAAATGAAACAAACTTAATGTGATAACATACCTAAAAATGTCATAAAAACTGTAGCCCAATTCAACGAAAAACAATCAGCAGAAACCAAAAAGTTTACGTCCAAACACTGGAAAAGTTTTTGATTTGAAAGCACCTATCTAGCTTACTGGGAGAATTGAATATTGTGAAAGCATTAGTACTGATCGGTGAAATACGCTTCAGGAAAACTGTTACAGTTCTGGCGTGTGGGAGAATTCCACTTTTCAGCCTATCAGGAATTTTTGAAATTAAATTCAATAAACAGGGAGAATCGGGATTGCCCCATTCTCTCTATTTATTGGAACGTATTTATAAAACATTCTTGACAAAATATAAAAATTTCTGGTTTTACCGGAAATGGCTCCGGTTTTGAATTTTCAAATGGAATCCTGTATATTTTGATATTTTGCATATTTGTGGCCATTTTGTATCAGAATGCAACCTTTGAAGTTTCTACGCGTACTTAAGTTTTTAGAGCCACTTTTAGTACGATATTGCATCTAGCTTCTAGGTGGTCAAGATCGAACCTCAACTAATTCAAAGACAACAGGTAATGTCAGAAAATTATAATTGACAGAGGAATAAAACAAGTTGACAAAATTACATTTTTGAGTCTAACTACTATTTTTTAAATGGTGAAAATTCTTGACAAACACTTTTCGAAAATATTCAAAACCGGAAGAGTCTGAATAGTGATAAATATGCGAAAAGCCTCGTTCTTCACTATATCGAATCGTATTTTAGTACATCTAATATTCTAGGAGTAATGTTGAGATTGCTAAATTAATTTCATTTGGTTTGGTAATTGGTAGGTACTTTCACTATACGTTTCAGTTAAAACAAGCTAGCATAAATTTCATTTATGTCATTTGATATTGAAACTGTGAAAAAATCCGCGAAATATTCCAACTTTAGCTTTCAGGGGGAAATATTGTTACGTAAAAATCAACCCATTGGTAATAATTCCCACCTCACAACCCTCATGTCAAAAATTTCAAATGAAAATAATCTGTTTTAAAATCTGTTTTTCCGTTAATAGTCGAATGATAATTCTATTGAAAGGTTTTCAACTTTGTATTCAACCCTGTAACATTTCCAACATTACAATGAGAAGCAATGTCATAAAATATAATCTTTTACATTTTTATTCAACTCTGAACACAGAGTTTCATTATCTGAAATGTTCATGAACACTACTGAATGATACTAATCAAAATAACAGAAATGAGAACTCACGGTAGAAACATTTTTATTTAAATATACAATATGGTACTGAATTTCAGTAGGAGATTTGAGCCGGTTCTAAGCCTCCCCCCACCACTATGACGTATTAATATTTTGTTGTTTGATTTGAAAGGGTTATATTTTTAGGAGTGATTAATTTTTGGGAAAGAAAGTTTTTGGCTTTCTACTACTCCATCTGATACAAAAAAATGGATGATAGAATCTTCCAAAGAAAGGAAGGAAGTAATCAATTTGAAAATAAGTAACTCTATACATGGATGTGTAGATCATGCAAAGAAGTAACTTTCAGACACAAACTGAAAGAGAGTCCTCCTGAAACAGCTACTTTCATATAAACATTGAATTACACGAAAGAAAAAAAATTCTTTCGAAACAAATACTTCTATATGAACACTGAATTATACAGAAGATACTTTTCTCTATTCAGTTTGTATATCGAACACTTGTTGAGGAATAAGAATCAGATATCATTCACATGAGTTCTACTTTGAATGAATGGTAATAAATTGTACTCACTGGAACACTGTCACCCTAACTGGTATACACCGTGTTTTGCCTTAAGACACTTGCCCTAAGGCTCTTCAGTACCAAATTGGATAACATTATAGAAAATACACAAACTTCATTCATGAAGTTGTTGTTGTTGTTTAGTGAAGTCAAGGTGATGTGATCTTGAAGTGTCTGGTGCATGGATCGTTCAGAATTTTTTTTCCGGTTCTACGTCTCCCCTCACCACTATGACGTATTAATTGCTTTTTTTTGTTGTTTAGTGAAGTCAAGGTGATGTGATCTTGAAGTGTCTGGTGCATGGATCGTTCAGAATTTTTTTTCCGGTTCTACGTCTCCCCTCACCACTATGACGTATTAATTGCTTTTTTTTGTTGTTTAGTGAAGTCAAGGCAATGTGACCTTGAAGTGTCTGGTTCATGGATCGTTCAGATTTTTTTTCATATGAGATTTTGTGTGTGTGTGTGTGTAAGAATGCACGGTACAGGGTTTCATCATGTGCTTGTTTGTCTATGTACAAACATACGTCTGCATACTTCGAAGAT